GGGTTGGGAACCACTGGATTAATTGATGTTGTGGAATCTGTATTTTTTGTGTGTGTGTGTGTGTGTGTGTGTGTGTGTGTGTGTGTGTGTGTGTTCAGGCCCGTCACTTTCGTCTCTACAGTCAGGAAGTAGTGGAGCTCGGTCACGGCGTCTCCTTCCTGCTGCTGCTGCCGCCTGCTGATGATGTTTGCTCCGCCCCCGGACAGTCCAACCCCTACAGCCCCCTGTCAGGGTTCCTGCACCTGCCGCTGCAGATGTTCGAGCTCGGTACTGACCCGTTACTGATTTACAGCTCTTTCCTCGATTCTACACTCTGCAGAAGTTCTGGTTCTGAGTATCAAACCTCTGAGTCTTTGATGTTGACCCTGAAAGTTTAATGTTGACCCTGAACCTGTAATGTTGACTTGAACTTTTGATGTTGACCCTGAACCTTTGATGTTGACCCTGAACCTTTTGATGTTGACCCTGAACCTTTGATGTTGACCCTGAACTTTTGATGTTGACCCTGAACCTTTGATGTTCACCCTGAACCTTTGATGTTGACCCTGAACCTCTTAATCTTGACCCTGAACCTTTGATGTTGACCCTGAACTTTTGATGTTGACCCTGAACCTTTGATGTTGACCCTGAACCTTTGATGTTGACACTGAACCTCTTAATTTTGACCCTGAACCCTTGATGTTGACCCTGAACTTTTGATGATGACCCTGAACCTTTGATGTTGACCCTGAACTTTTGATGTTGACCCTGAAACTTTGATGTTGACCCTGAACCTTTGATGTTGACCCTGAACTTTTGATGTTGACCCTGAACCTTTAATGTTGACCCTGAACCTTTAATATTGATCCTGAACCTTTAATGTTGACCCTGAACTTTTGATGTTGACCCTGAACCTTTAATGTTGACCCTGAACCTTTAATGTTGATCCTGAACCTTTAATGTTGACCCTGACCTTTTGATGTTGACCCTGAACCTTTTAATCTTTACCCTGAACCTTTAATGTTGACCCTGAACCTTTAATGTTGATCCTGAAACTTTAATGTTGACTTTGAACCTTTGATGTTGACTCTGAACCTTTGATGTTGACTCTGAACCTTTAATGTTGACTTTGAACCTCTGATGTTGACCCTGAACCTTTGATGTTGACTTTGAACCTTTAATGTTGACTTTGAACCTCTGATGTTGACCCTGAACCTTTGATGTTGACCCTGAACCTTGTTTTAGTCTGATCTCTGTCCTGTTCTCTGTCCTCAGTTCATTTCTGCACCTACAAGGAGCGGTTCATCAGTCTGTACTGCCGTCTCTCCTCCGTCCTGGACCTGGACTCCCTCATTACTCAGCAGGCGCTGCGGGAGGCCATCACCGACAGCGAGGTGACCACCGCCAAACATCGACACCAGCTCATCCTGGACTACATCCAGGTGAGAAACACAAGATGTCCGTCAGCTTGTCTGGTGTTTTGTGTCTCTGTTGCCATCGAGACCATCAGTAGTCTACAGTTACGCTTCATTCAGGCCGTCCTCAGAGATGTAGACCAGGTGTCTGTTCAGTTCTGAGTTAAAGCCTCAAACAAAGTGACGTTAATCTGTGAAAAGTTTGTTTTATTAAGCAGTAAAATGTAAATGTCAGCTGCAGATCATCAGTGAGGAGTCGCCGCCGTTAACGGAGGCTGACCACGAACCACGAGTGTCAGACCATCTGTCCGGTTATTTTAAAGCTCCGAGCGCCGTCTGCTCAGAGAAACAGCAAAATCATCCTGATGGCACCACATGGAACCGGGTCAGAACCGACGGCAGATTTTACTAATTAACCTCATGTCAGCTGAACAAACATAAATGTTCAGCGTCTCTAAAAATGAAAGATTTTCAGATTTTTCTCTGATCTGAAGGAAAGATCTGAGAAATAAACCCATCAAAAGTAATGTGCAGGTCCACCGGGCCGTACACCAGTACCAGGCTGCAGGATGTTCAGAGTCAAAAAAAATTCAAACATCTTTTATTACCTGTTAAAAAGGTGCAGCTTTCTTCTTTTCTCAAACAATCAAAGCTTCACTTAAAAAATAAAAACCAGATTCAGGAACAATGAGTCTATGAAACAAACCGGGTCCATCAGAACCTTCTGGACTTTCAGGTCATTTGAATCCATGGAGCCTCAGAAGATAAACTTCAGACTATTTCTGTCAGAAACTAAACTTGTGGTTCTTGGTTTTTATTTAAAAGTAGTAGTTTTTTTTATCCACCGGATCAGATAGATTCCAAACCTGACAGCTCCAGAACTTTTCTTAAAACGAGTTTCTATTATTTTTTTCTGTTTCTATTCTAGTTTCTAACATCAGACCACGGCTCTGAGGTTTTTCTGTCTTTAGAATAACAGAAACTGAAAGATTTTAAGTTTTTTTGGAAGCTTTTTAAGATGAACCTAACCTGGAGATTGTTCAAGTTTAAAGTCCAGGACCCACCGTAGTAACATCCCAAGTGCCCTTGATGGGTAATTAGTAATTACCCATCAAGGGCACTATCCATCAGGTTACCCCCCACCCCCCAAAAAAAGACCCCCACCCAAACCACTACAATTTTGGGATGCATCTAGTAGCATGACATTTATTAGGAATAAAGACTTCTGAGTTCTGGTGCATTTGTGCGTGCGGGGGTCATTATGTTACCGCTATGCGGTATCTAGTTTTTAAAGAATTTCAATTAAACATAGCTGGGATTATTTTTATTTATCTAACATATTTTGTTGGATATATAATTTGAAAACATGGTGGGTTATGGACTTTTAAGTTGTTTGTTTGAATTTGTTTATTAATAAGGGGCAGATAAGATTTTTGTCTTTTTTCAGCACCGCTTTCATTCAGTAATTGATTTACTTTGTTTTTTTTTAATGGACGTTTTGTTGTTTTGATTAATCAAATTAAATCAAATAAAAATCTATGGAGAGAATTCTGTCTCGCAACATAAGTGAGGAACAAGATTTCTGCTCGCTGCTGCGTTCCAGGCTGGAGAAAACCTGGGAAATCTGAGCTTTGCCACATTTACAAGGTAATTGGAAAAATACTTTTCTGACATCACTGAGTTCCAAAAATGTTACATTGATATTATTTTATTGTTAAGTTTTCAAAAACTACTAATAAAATATGTTCCAGTATTTTATATCACATGAAGCCTACAGTCCTCACAAAAAATACAAGAAATTATATATTTCTGCAGTATTTATTGGTAGTTTTTGCAGAGGAAAAAACTGATAAATATGATTCCAGTAGTTTTTGTAAATGAATGTCTTAATAGTTTAACCTTAAAATTACCTTATGACTTCCTGTATTTTTGTGTGGACTGTACATTTGAAGGAAATACTCAAAACTGTATTTTTCTGGTAGTTTTTCCACAAGAAGAAAATGTTAATTTTGTGGAGCTGAAATAAATATTTCTAAATGAGTAGGTTATTCTTTTTTCTGGAAAACCTACCAGGAACATTTATTTTTCCCGGTAATATATGTGTTTGTTCTGATAAATGTTATTTTTTAATTATATTTCAGCCTCAAAGTTCACAAAATGTAAAACATTTGGAACCCAGTAATATAAGTGTATATAATAACCCAGTAAATGTGGTAAAGCTCAGATTTCTCAGCTTTTCACCAGCCTTGAACGCAGCATTACACGTGTGTCAAAAGTGACATTCACAGGCGAACAGATCCGTGCAAATCCAGCATTGTGAGACAGGATTCTGTCCATAATGTCCACGTGGTTCTGAGTCCTCCTGCGTCTCCGCAGCAGTTGGACGAGGTGCGGCGGGACCTCCGGTGGATCACGGACGCCCTGCAGTACGCCCGCTACAAGCAGCCCCACGGCGGCGTGCCCATCACCTGCCTGGTGGACGCCAACGCTCCGGAGAGCGGCTCGGGTCAGCAGAAGACCGACTCCACCTCCTCCAACATGGACTACCTGCCCACGCCGTCTCCGTCCCCGGAGCTTCGCCGGAGTAAAGCCATCAGTGGTGCGTAAGAGCCGAAGGTTTGCGACGGTCCGACCAGAGCCGAGCCTCACTCTGACCTCTGCCCGACAGAGTCTCTGCTGGGTTCTGACGAGGACGGGTCCTCCGAGGTGTTCCTGCCCACGGACAGCGACTACGACTCCAGCGACGCCCTGAGTCCCCGAGAACTGGACCTGCTCTACTCTCCGGCCCCGGACTTCTCCCATCAGGCCGTGCACTCGCTGGGTGGCAGCGCCCCCGATGTCCTGCAGGTCAACGAGCTCAGGTGACTCAGTCTTTACCTGTGTTCCTTCCAACCAGGTGTTCAGACGACTCCAGTGGTTGTCTTCTGGTCTTTTAGGTCAACACAGGACCCGGCCCACCTAGACTGGGTAGACCGGGTCCTTCGAAGGATGCAGCCCCTGAATTTGGACACAGCCATTTTCTCTGTTTCTGCTAGCTGATAGCATTAGCTTCCAACTTTATCAGATCGGTCATTAAAGCAGTGTTTTAAGCCACGCCCACATTACTTCAGAAACCTCCTCCTCCACACAAAATTATGTTTCACTGAGAAACTGGAAACTGTTCAAAAAATTAAAATGGAGATTTTCAAAGTCTCGGTTTCTGGTGGATCCACATGGTGGGAAGGTGCTTTAAAGAAACGCTGACACAGCAGTTTGTTTCAGTGTTTGTTCCATGAAAAGAAATAAATGTTTTTCACATTTTGTAGGTGTTCTGTAGACCAGAGGACGTGTTGCTACGTCTTCATTTCTGAAAAACTGTGTTGAATCCCCGTGAAGCTGCCGAAAACATTTAAACAAATCTGTAATTTGAATCAAAACTGAGTAAAAGTTCAAAATAAAAACTGAGTAGAAGTTTGTCATAAACTGAAAATTAAAATAAATAAAAGCTCTGAGTTCAAAACAAATCTCTGCAGATGTTCAAAATCAAAACTGAGTAGACATTCAAAGCAAAAATTCTGAGTAGATGTTAAAATATATTCAAAAATATGTAATGTGGGCGGAGCCTATATTTGTTTTATAAATGCTTCACATTTTATTGTTAATATATGAAACAGTTTCTGGTTTTTACTCACCAATGGAGTAATCTGATTACAGGGAAGGAGTAATCTGATTGCAGTGAAGGAGTAATCTGATTACAGGGAAGGAGTAATCTGATTRCAGTGAAGGAGTAATCTGATTACTGGGAAGGAGTAATCTGATTACTGGGAAGGAGTAATCTATATACAAAGAGTAATCTGTATACAAAGAGTAATCTGATTACTGGGAAGGAGTAATCTGTATACAAAGAGTAATCTGATTACTGGGAAGGAGTAATCTGTATACAAAGAGTAATCTGATTACTGGGGAGGAGTAATCTGATTACAGTGAAGGAGTAATCTGATTACTGGGGAGGAGTAATCTGATTACAGGGAAGGAGTAATCTGATTAAAGGGAAGGAGTAATCTGAATGCAAAGAGTAATCTGAGTACAGGGGAGGAGTAATCTGATTACTGATGTCTCCCATCAGGTACAGTGTCTGCACACCTGCAGACCCCCTTACACCTGTAAAGGACCCTCTCCTACCCTCCTCCCCCTCCACGGACCTCCTCCTTCCGTCCACCCACCCGCCTGCCCCCCCACCTCGCTCCAGGACCCTCCCCACGTCCCCGTCCCTGCCCCTGTCTCCCAGGTTCTACAAAGACCTCCCCCTGTCCCTCCCCCTCTCCCCAGGTCTGTCTGACACCACTAGGACTCTGGAGGGTCTCTCCCTGTCCAAGGAGGGCCCCGCCCCTTTCAGGGCCCTCGCCAACCCCCCTGCCAAGAGAAAACTGCTGTCCAGGAGCCACCGGGGCCAGTACTTCAGCGGGCCCCAGCGCTGGTTGCGGGGCCACAGCGGGGACAGTCTCACCGGGTCCTTGTCTGAGGGGGTTTACACCAAGCAGCTGGACCCCGACCTGACCCCGCCCTCTCCACAGGGCCACACCTTCATTAGCCACGCCTCCTGTGTCCTGGAGAATCGCAAGTCCCGGCACCGGGACCCGCGGCCCCACGTTCGCAGGATCTTCGTGGAGCCCTGCAGGGACCCTTCCCCAGACCACCACGGGGGGCGACGGGAGGGCATCTCGGCCGCAGGGGTGTCTGTGGTCGTGGCGGAGGTGGAGTCTGGAGGGGAGGAGCCAGAGGGAGCCGCCGCCCAGGAAGTGGACTCAGACGAGCAAAGCAACGCGCAGGTGTCGGAAATCCTCAGCAGCACTTTGTAGGAGGAGCCTAGAAAAACCAGGAAGTCTTTAAATCCGACAGAAAACACCTGAAAGGATGTTAAAGCCACTAAAAACATGACCTGGTCAGACCAGAACCCAGTTCCCCGAGTGGAGATCCAAACAGGAGGTTCTGGTCTTCAGCAAAGTCTGGTTCAACCACTGCAAACATTGAATTTAATGGATTTAATTATTAAAAAATTAACCTGTAGAAAATGCAGAAAGGAGTCGAAACACTGGAGCTGATGAGCTACAGGCTAGTCTGAACGCAGCCCAGACCAAAGAGGGTCCAGGACTGTGGGATAAATCTTGTCAGTAGGAACTAAATTTGACAAAGTTATTTTATTGCAGTGATTAATTTGACCTATATGTGGAAAATGTTACATTTACATCACATCATGGATCAGATGCTGCTGCTGACTGATCCATGATGTGATGTAAATGTAACTTTTTCTACATATAGGTCAAATTAATCACTGCAATAAAATAACTTTGTCTGTTTTTGTCACTTTTACAATGGATTGCATCAACTCTGTTACATACAGAAGGGAAACTTCACCAAAGTGAAACATAAATCTGTGGATCTGTGTTTGATTACTCTGCCTGGCTTTCTCAAGGACCAGGATGTGACACAAAAATCTGAATTAATCTGAAAATCTGAAAAGTGAAAGTAGTCAAACTGAATTTTTAATAAACCAAAAAACAGTTTCAAAGCAAATTAATTCAGATACAAAATTTTAAATTCAGTTTCAATTTAGTAAAATTCATTTTCAAACCAATGCGTTCAATTTCAAATTATAAACATTCAGATTCAATTTGAACAATTCAAATTCTATTCCTGCTGACACAAGATTTATCCCATAATGCTCAGACTAGCCTTTAGCTCATCAGTTCTGTCAGAAATTAACCGTTTCTTCTACAGCAGGTAAGATATTGACTCTTCAGATCTACAAGGTATTGGGGGTTTATATCCAGTTTGAATTGGCTCAGTTTAAAATCAATGTCTGATCTTATTGTGAAAATCTGCCTCACATGCTAACGTTTCATCCAATGAAAGGCTTGGATTTGGGTGGAGCTGATGCTGATTGGTTGAACCAGCTGACGAGGTTCCACTTCCTCTTCCTGGCTCTCTCTCTCTCGTCAACAAACTGACCAATCAGAGCAGCGTTTACCCTCTGACCTCCACAGGTTCTGGTTCTGCTCCGCCGAGCCTCAGAACCGATGGCGCCGACTGTTACCCCCACGATGCAACAACAAACCGGACTCGGACCCTGACCCTGACCCTCCAGGACCTTTGCACATGAACCCAGAAGAAGAATCCACTTTGTTTAAAACTGTTTTCTTACAGATGAGTATTTTTGTCGGTCCGTTTCAGCATGAACTGGATGTTTGGCTCGGTTTGTGGCGGTTCGGTCCGTTCCAATGATCTGCCTCAGTCACTCAGACCTCGACACGTGAAGTATTTTTTCTATCCCGCGCTCCGTCAGCATGATGTCGTAAATCCTGGTCTCTGTGTCCCGTTTGTGCCCCGCGGGTCCAGCATGATGATGTCAGGTGGGTTCTGGTTGTCTGTCGGAACCGTTTGTGTTGAGCTTTTCTGTCACACTTCTCTCTCCGGTGTTTCTTTACCGCCGTGCGTTCGAGTCGACAGGAAACAGAAGACCTGAGGGGACAGATTTGTTCTGGACTTTTCAGATTTAAATTAATTTATTTTGAGATTTAAAAGATCAGTTGTCCGCATCAAGTCATGAGCAGTGGAAATAATCATGTGTTGGACTCTTATTGTGAAGGGTTGAAGGAAGTTGAGTTTAGCCATAAAACATTAAACATTTTGGTTTTTATTTTATTCTGAAATAATTAAATTTTAATTTGAATCTTGAAAACTGGAACAGATTTGAGGTCCTCTCAGGGTTTTGTCTCCTGCAGGGCTCCAACACCTCTTGTAGTTTCTGCCTGTTCTTTCTTGGTTTTTGGACCAACTTGCACCAAAACGTTTTGTTTTCTTGGTGTCGTGGAAACCGTTGTTCTGTTTGAGCGTCTGCAGCGTATTTAAAATGTTTTTATTGTTGACACTTCTGGAATAAAAGCTTTGATGACAGGAGGATTTACTCAATCCAGTGGTCCGGTGGTCCGGTCTCTAGAACCTGTGAGGTTCTGAACCCATCAGATTCATTCAGAGGTTTTACCTCCACTTTGTCCCCTCTGTCCCATCAGTCCTATCTGCCTCGTGTCCCATCAGTCTCATGTGTCCCCTCTCCAGGTTTTATCTTAAACTCCAGGTTTTATCTTAAACTCCAGATTTTATCTTAAGGTCCAGGTTTTATCTTTAAACTCCAGATTTTATCTTAAACTCCAGGTTTTATCTTAAACTCCGGATTTTATCTTAAGGTCCAGGTTTTATCTTTAAACTCCAGGTATTATCTCAAAGTCCAGATTTTATCTTAAACTCCGGGTTTTATCTTAAAGTCCAGGTTTTACCTTAAAGTCCGAGTTTTATCGTAAAGTCCAGGTTTTAGCTTTAAACTCCAGGTTTTATCTTAAACTCCCGGTTTTATATTTAAACTCCAGGTTTTATCTTTAAACTCCAGGGTTTTATCTTTAAACTCCAGGTTTTATCTTTAAACTCCAGGGTTTTATCTTTAAACTCCAGGTTTTAGCTTTAAACTCCAGGTTTTATCTTTAAACTCCGGGTTTTATCTTAAACTCCGGGTTTCATCTTAAACTCCGGGTTTTATCTTAAACTCCGGGTTTTGTTTTTAAACTCCAGGTTGTATATTTAAACTCCAGGTTTTAGCTTTAAACTCCGGGTTTTGTTTTTAAACTCCAGGTTTTAGCTTTAAACTCCAGGTTTTGTTTTTAAACTCCAGGTTTTGTTTTTAAACTCCAGGTTGTATATTTAAACTCCAGGTTTTATTTTTAAACTCCAGGTTTTGTTTTTAAACTCCAGGTTGTATATTTAAACTTTGTTTAAACAAACTTTGTTTGTTTACATCAGCTGTTCTGATGTAAACAAACTCTTGGTTCTGTCAAACATTTTAAATGCTGAGTCAGCGTCTGAGCTCAGGATGACTCAGCTACTTTCACATGTTGGCACCTGGAGAACCTGGAGCTGTGGGTCTCAGACCTGTGGCACTAATGGACCCCCATACGTTCGGGACCATCAGAACCAGAGGAGGGGTTTCAGTTCGGATGACATCGGAGCCTGATGAGTATTTGGGTTCTGTCAGAGGCGGGTTCGGTTCAGCTGCAGACAGCATGTGGGACCTGCACGAGTCCCGGACCGGGACCTCTGTCTGAAAGTTCCTGAGAAGTTCCGGACCGGTCTGTGCTGGCCCCTCTTGGATTTATTATTGCGGACATTTGACGGAACCGGACCGGGTCTTACCTGGACTGGAC